GATGAAAATTCGGGATAGCGGAGCCGGATTTTTGCATTTCAAGGATAACCTAAAAATGGATACTGATTCATATTTATACTCATTTGAGCTTTTACATAAGACGTTTCCAAACACAAATATGAAACTAGGTTAGAGATGAATGAAGAAATTCATTTCAATTGTGCTTCCAAGATCAAGATGTAAAAGTTTCGGGTCACTGATTTGTGAAAACAATTTTCCGCTCCTGGAATATTAACTTTTAGACCAGCTGCAACCGTCTTCACAGTTCCATTCATAATTCGTTCGTATAGCATATTGAAATAAGCTTAATATATTTATTCAAACCCTAATGAACATATACAATATTCCTATACTGCAAAAACACACTAAAAATAATTATACTAAAAGAAAAATTAGATATAATAATCCTATTCTGCAAAAACATGAGAAGGGGGGGGGAATTGAAAATTTTTTTAACCTTAAACAAGAAAATGTAATTTTTTTTTTTTTTTTCAAAAATAAATAATAAATAAACATTTACTTGCTGTTGGAAATACCAATTAATAACTTTTTTCAAAATACCGTTTGGTAGATTAATTTCCCTCAAGTCGAATTAGGGTTAACTGTGTTTTGTATTATTTCGAAATCAGCATCATGAAGTCAATTCTTCCTCAAGATGTGATACTGCTTTAGATATTTAGATCTGATATTCGTCAAATACCAGAAACTAACATTGATCAAGTGCCTTTTCAGCAATTATTGAAAATATTTTATGTTTTAGTATTCGTAACTTCGAAACCAGGTAATAAAACCATCTAATATATTCCAAAATAAAATATGAACGCTTAAAAAACATGATTTCTAATATGCGATTTCACCGAGTTGAAGCAGTTTTAAAATAATCATTTGGTTCAAAGGATAATTTATCTATCATTAGCACATGTAATTCACACACATACAATTATCTAATCATATCATATTAACTGCGTTTTCTTGTTTTTCATGAAACTTTGAAATGAGAAGTATGATAATATTTACGAAAGTCTAATAAAAATAATAATTGAAAACAGCTGTTTTTGCGAGATTTTGGAGCATTGTATAATAAAATTTCCATTACAGATAATAATGCAATTAAAAGGTTTCTGTAATATTGCTCCCAAAACACTTTCATTCTCCTACCAAGCTAATAATAAATAGGGATATATTTGATTTGATAAATCAATAATTACCTAAATTTAAGACAAAATTATAGAAGAATATAATTTAATTTTCTCTGACTTTTAACAAAAACATATATTCCTCAGAAAAATTCAAAAATTTCAAAAAAATCTTTAGTCGTAATTTAACGTGGAAGCATTTAGATTTGCATGTCAACTTCCGAAAGGAAAAAAAAAAAAAACAGTTTCATTTTAAGTATTATGCAAACACACATCGACAACAATTATATATATATATATTTATATATCGTTTTATATATAAGCAAACATTTATATAAAAAAAATATGTTGACATTTCATGAATATCATCTAGTTCTGTAAAACATTAAAACCAGGAAACTTGTATTAGAGAGAACGAGTTTTATTTGAAAATCAAAATTTAAGTTTCGGAAAACCGGATTCCTAAATCTTAAAAATAAAGAATAACTACATAAAATAGTATTTTTGAAAACAAAACAAAGAAAAAAGTTATAAAACTGCGATACAGCGAGGTAAAAATAGAGGGAATAAAATAATAAATCACAGAAACAGTTACATGAAGGGCGAGTTTTCGTACTTGGAAAACATTTTTATAGCAGCGTAATGCTACCCCTCCCCCATTCATCACGAATTTTTTTAAAATTCGATTTAATTGAAAACTTATTTTTAATGTCATTACACTCTGCACTTTGGGTTCATATCCCGTTAATAATATGAAGTATATCAAAAATTTTACAATTAAGTTTTTTAATGTGTGAGAACTGTGCTTATATATATGTGTAAAACTAATCAGAACAAAGATTGGGTAACATAGCCGGAAATTGAATTGTATTCTAATGGGAATGAAACGAAACACATTTCTGAATTATAAAAGAAAAATTATTATTACTATACTCACTTACTTCGGTAAAAATAATGGACACAAGAATAATTTTAATTTAAAAATAAAAGTTTCAAAATAATGAATAACACAGAAAACTCATTTTCTACAATCAGGTCAAGAAAACTGGTAATTTTGTGATAACTGTAACTTACTTTGCTTAACCGTAGAAGCCGAGAATAATCAGAGAACTTCATCGAATACTGTCGAAAATCATTTTAACTTCTCTGTTCTCGGATTTAATGTTAAAAAATTCTAGGAAAACTTTTTGATGAATATTTACTCAGAAAATAAACTTAGTACCACTAGGATGAAAACAAGTTTACAAACAATTCTATCGAATTGATACGACATGCACACGAATGTAAATTGGTTACGCAGTTTATTAAAAAGCGAAACAAATTTTTTTTCCTTTGTTAACTAAGGGTTATTAAATTGCTTGTTAAATGGCAACAGAAAAGCGAAGTACATTTTTTAACCTTTACTCGTGTCTTGCTGTGATTGGGATGTAAAATGTTAAGCTCTAAATGAATTCCGACGAATTCGTCTTTTACTTACTTAACGGATATGTTGAAAGCGCGTAATTGTGCAATCCTCACATCCCCCACGAATCAGTTTATTCCAAGAAGTGCGCTCATTTCAGAGAACATTTTAATACTGAGAAGCTTTTATGAATCAATTCACAAAATTAAACGAAACATCTCACTTTTGCAAATGTTTCTAATGATGAATATATCGTACTGAAGGGAAAAAAAATATTCCAGAACCACAGCTCTGTAAAAAAAGCTTTTAAGATAAATTGAAGTTTTATGAAAACAAGCCACGTTTTCAGACTTATACAAATATAGTGTTTTTATGCAAGTTTGAAAAAAAAAAAATTTAAAGTATCATACAAGATTCAGACTTGGTGCGAGACTAGAACTTTTAACTGCTAACATTCAGAATTTATCATTAGCATTTAGAATTTACATAATATTTCTTCTTTATGAAATGTCATTTAATTTTTTAATCATGGGCAAGTTGCAAACGAAGTTAAGGTGCGAAGCTTATATACTCCTGTAAATCTCATCAACTTGTGTTATGTATATTTAATTTTTATTTTGGTTGCATAGTTACCTTCTTAAAAAAACTGCGTCTATTTTATTTATTTTTTTCGTTTCTATAATATATTCCTGTGAAGATTTTGTCAAGTAATAAAATAAATATATTCCAGAGTTAACATTCACGTCTATTTAAAAGTTCCTAAACATGTATGTTTACTCTAAGATTATTTGATTTGAACACTTCAAAGTTATTAGTATGCTTTCAATAAAATCAAGCTAAATACTGTCGTAGTTTGTTTATCATTTAGTAATTTTCATTACTCTACTGCAGAAGCACTCGCTTCACAAAATATTAATTTATTGCAGCATGTTAGTTTCTTCAAAATAAATTAATTCTATTTCAAACTCATTGAAAGTCAGTAACTACATTAACCTACCAATTCCTTATTGTATTTAGTCTCCCCCCAAATAAATAAAATAAACTAGAATTCATTGATATACAAAGTTCTGCATAAGCTAAATAATTTTAATAAAGACAACTTAATAAAAATCTATTTCATTATGTGTGTATTAATAAAAGCAATCATAAAATTTAAAAATATTATAAGTACCCTCTTGCATCAAATACATACATGAGCCCAATTTTTTTTTCATACATGCATATTAAGAAATAGAAACGTAGTATCTGCCAGATAAATAAAATTATTTTGTTTGACTAAACCAAGCCAAATATTATCATACCAATGAAAGGTCACGCGTAAAATCAAAATCTTTTATTCGATTTTATTATATTTCTTTGAACCAATATGCTATAAATGTAAATATAAATAATATAAAGTTTCATAATTAAGTTCTTTTAAGCTATCCTTGATCTTATACGCACCCCTAACCTAAAGGGACACATTAAAACCCAGGATAAATTGGATTTTAAAAAAAAAGGAATGAAAAAAAAATACTTGGATGGTAATCAAATTTAAACCAATAAAAACTAATCAAGTTTATCAGCAACGCACTTAGAAGCAACACGAGAGCTATTGGCAACTGACATTGTAATTTTGACGTAGATAAAGTGAGAAGACGACGCCTGAATTCGCACACCACCTTCCAAACTTTAAAAAATTGATAAAATTAAATAATTTTTCAGTTATCACATTCCCATGTTTCTTCCCCCACTCAATTTCCAAAAGAAATTATTACTCTTCTACATATTTAATATTCCGGTCTACTTTTAAGACAATACCGATATTTTGATTTAAAAAACTGTAACATTCTGTTTCAGTCCAGATTTTTTAAATTTATTTTTATAAAATTAAATCAAGAAATTGGAATTAAAAAATTAAGTCCGCCGTTTTGCAAAGCCTTTTCATGCGGTTGATTTGCGTGAGTAGTTCCAGTCTGCCACGACGAAAATACGAAAGTGATTTGAGTTCGACACCGAAGAATTATTGCCTATAAAGAATGCGGATTATTCTTTCGATAAATCGGTAATCGAGTCGGACGTACGAAACCAAGCAACATTGAATCGGGAATGTAATGAATGGATGGAACGGTTGACCGAGAGCACCCACTATACCCTTACACTATTCGCAAAACTGCACGTGATGATAGGCATACCGTGTGCATGGCAATGATAGATCACTCTGCCACATTAGGAACTACATCACAAAAATGTTGTCTATTGCTCAACTATTTATGTGCGCGTGTACCACTCATTTACAGCACAATGGAATGTCCTCAAGATGTCCATTACTGCGATTACCTCTGTCTTATAAGCAACGCTTTATTTGTCTTATATATATAAAATAATTAAAATGTAAAAAAAAAAAAAAAAAAAAATTTCTTCGTCCAGTACGAAATTAAATGAAAGTGTACTGAAAATAACAGTTTGTCATCATCAGAACGTCATGCCAAGCTGAATGCACTGGTTCTCGTCCGATCACAGTAGTTAAGCATCATCGGGCGCGATCAATACTTCAGAGGTTTACCACCTGGAAACACCCATGTGCCGATGGCCTTTTTTTTTAATCAACAGGCAAATTACCGGTGCTAGCTGGAATATGCGAAATGTTGAATTGCGAGCAGCTCTAAAATACCCCTCAAAAATAATTAATGAAAAACATTTCTAAAAAATTCTTTTATAATATTTTTTGATAACTCTGCTAATTAATACCTCAATAAAATTGAAAAATACACTACAAATCATCATACCAGAAGACCAGGAAATATCTTACTTGGTTAATACCCACTCCACTTTCCAACAAGGCAATCAAAATTCAACCTTTCCCTCATATATGATGCATTTCCAACGCAACTCATTAGACCGGCAAACACGCTCTACGCATGGACGTCAGCCTAACAAGAAAATACGGCAAATCAATCTCACGGCTCACCGATATAATTCCCTCCCCGCGCACACCTATAAAAGATACACCCAGACAGGAAGGCCCGTTTTTAAATAAAGGGCTTCAAAAAGCATATTTGCAAATTTTTAAAGTGAACCTTAATACCACTATTTTTTCTCACTTCTGGGCAAACGTAGAAACCAACGAAAAGTTCTAGCTCATTAAAAAAGGTTAAAGCCCAAACGGGCTATGGACACCAGCAAACTTCGTCCTATCATCATAAATAATAATAATAATAATAAAAGTGAAGATTTTTCAATCCAGCTGAGAAATTTTTTAACCGGAAACTGAAGAGTTGTGGGCACAGTCTTCATTATCCAACTAACGATCGCGCACAACACTTCAATTTTTAGGCAAAAAGTTTCAGCTGGATTGAAAATTTATTATTTATAACGATGATAAACAGCCATTCTTTAAATTTAAATTCTTACAATAAGAGGAATTTTTTTTTTTTTTTTTTTTTTTTACAAAAAACTTTTTTTAAACTATTTTCCCACATAGAAGTGTTTTAAAGTAAATTTTTTATGTATATTATTATAAAATTACGATGTGCTATCAGTTAATAAAATCTAAACTGCATTTTAAATAAAAGCAATATATGGTTTTAAGGTCGCATACTCCCCATTTCATCGAACAATGGCAGAAATGAATGAAGCATCTCGACTAAAACGATCAGAGCACGCTCTTAATATTAAAAAGCAACATTTATTACAGGTAAGAGCATACTTTCAATACAAATACGAATATAAAAATTATTAGAATTTTAGTCTTAGTAACTAAAAGCTGTAATGGTTAAAATATTTTAAAAGAAAATCAAAATTACAATGTCCAAAGAACCCGGATAAATAGGGACGGGGCGGGGGGCGGGAATGGTGTATCGAAAGGAATTGGGTACTTAAAAATAATCAGATAATAATACAGAGTGTTAAAAAAAATATCCTAAATTTGCAGAGCTACTAATACAAAATTAAATGAGTTATAATCTTATCGGGCACAATAAGAAATTAAAACAACACTTCAAAGTTCAAAACATAAAAATTCAATGCTATCACTACCTGAGAAGCACGAACGTCTTATTCATTATAGAACTCAACCTATACTTTCTTCAGCATGTGCGGTGGTACAGATTGAATGGCTATAGTTATTCACGTTTTCAGTTAATCGATGTTCCACCGGTGGTGGCGAAAAAAATAACTTCTATCTTTCTAGTAACACCACAGGAAAAAAAAATGCTAAGGATTGAATCACATGCTCTGCGACCAATTCACCATATTATACCCAATTCCATATAGTACGCGTTTTTCTGGTAGTGGTACCAATGATTATTTAAAAACTTTAAAAAGTTATTTTAATTTAATTAGTTCCAAATGATTGTAACTGTAGCTCTACAAAATTGGAACACTTTGTATTTTGATTTTCAACTGATTTGACAATGTAAACTTTCGAACATTTGTTGTAAATGCAACTTTATATTCTTTAAGTCAACACCAATTTTTCATGGCAATAACAGAAGTTGATGTTTTACCCATAAAATTGCAAACAGGATAGAAACCAAACGAACCATAAAAGACAAAATTTCTCGCTAACTCCCAACAGGACGAATACTGTGTTAATTTCAAATTTTAGAAGCAACACATAAAATGTCTAAAATCGTAGGTAAGGGGGTCGTTCAATAAGACCTTTGAAAATTTAAGAAATGGCGCTCGTAGCACCGAAAGTGGTTTGTTTTTAGCAAACATCGTGACGTTGTCTAGTGAGTCACGAATCTCAGTAATTTCCATCCTATGGTTTAATTTTTACTGCCGATTGAAGCAAGAAACTTTTGTTTATTTAGAAAAAATGGGAAAGGTGAGTTTCGAGCGGTGATTAAATGCTTATATTTAAAAGGCTAACATCGAAAGAGATCAAAGCTGAATTGGATAAAGTACATGGCACATCATCTATTGTGTTTGCCACTGTTTACAATTGAGTAAATGAGTTTAAACATGGCCGTACTTCTACAAAAGATGAACGTCGTTCGGGACGTCCAGTGGAAGTGACGACTCCCGGAGTGATTGACAAAATCCACAATACGGTTTTGAGTGTTCGACGAATTAAAGTGTGCGAAATAGTTAAGGCCTCTGGCATATCGCAAGGTACAATGTTTTCAGTTTTGAATGCAAAATTGGGCGTGAAAAAAAATCTCGGTTAGATGGGTGCCACGTTTGCTTTCAGTGGAAAATTTGCGCAATCGTGTGGTCGACTCCAAGAATATTTTGGCGCTTTTTCGCCGCAATCTTGACGAGTTTCACAGCGATACATAAGCATGGACAAAACGTAGATACACTCCAGAAGCAAAGGAACAGTCAAAACATAGGGGTTTTGAAGGCAGGCGGGCTCCGAAGAAAGCAAAGATGGTGAAATCGGCAAGGTGATGGCCAGGGTTTTTTGGGATGTAAGCAGAATCATCTACACCGATTACTTGAAAAAAAGGGAAAGCAATAACAAGAGAGTATTATGCGTCGTTATTGCACACGTTGAGTGAAGAAATCCTGAAAAAATATCCTCATTTGTAAAAGGAAAAGACCCTCATCCATTAAGACTACGGCGATCGGTATAGGACGGCGATCGAGAAGCGGCAGCGTTTATTCGAACCCTGGACCAAGGGGTCCGAAGTTGACGGGCCTACCAATCAAGCCGAAAAGATATCTCATCGGGCTGGTTGAGTAAGGCCTTTTGAATCGCTGCAAGACAATGCACAGGTGTACACTTGTACAGTTTCGATGGCCAAAATCATGGAATTTTAGTTGGAACTATTACAACATCACCGGAATCGGCCCCCAGAGACTTCCTTTTATTTCCAAACTTTAAAAAAATGGCTCGGAGAACAACGGTTCACGTCGGACCAATAGGTCATACCCCCAAATAGATGCCTATTTTGTAGACATTCCGAAATTCTACTCTTAAGATTGCTTTAAAAAGTTGGAGAAACATTTGGAAAAGTGTATAGAAAATGAAAATGTTGAAAAATAAAAAAAAAATCAACTTTAAACAATATGTTTTTCTATCTTTTTTAAGGATTTATTGAGCGACCCTCGTATATTCGTTTTTTCGGAATCTGAAGTCGAGTTTAATACACCCAACGCATAAATAATTCATCATGTGTTTATATGCTCTTATATTATGTAGTCAATATAACTTTATTGCACCACAGTCTTTTCCAATCTGCAGTATGACCTTGTTTAGTGGTCATGATGCGTTCGAAGACAACACAAGGAGGAATGAAACGGCGATCAACGAGGTCATTACATGGTCACAATAGCGATCAATCACAAATAAATTTTATTTTGATTAACAGTTATTTATATAAAAGGTTAATAACAAATGTTCATAAACATGTTCACAAAATATTAAGATAGAATCTATACAGAAGGCCCGGGCTCTTCCTATCTTAATAGAAGAGCTGGTACAATTTTTTTGACAAGCGATACATTTTTATTCATTTATTTATTTGTTGTCTGTGGCCTAAGCGAATACAGCTTCCAGCGCTTCCGCCTAACATAATTTACATAGCTCACACGCATCTATTTGGCATAATATGTACGTACACTGCAAATTAAAAGTGTTGTGTATCATATATAACATACACGTGTTCAAATGTATTGCTGTATTACCATACATAATATATATATATATATATATCATTACATGTTCTTCTCTGTTTAGTCATTATTCTTAGCTTGTTTTTGTCTAGTAAGAAACATGGAAACAGTAAGAAAATATATTTTGAAATTTGGAAAAACAAAATGATAGCGTTTTATCGAATCAGATTCAATCGAGGTCTGCAGTACATTTTCCATCAAAATACTGTAGAATCTCGTTATAAGTCGAACCCTATGAATTCGGAAATCTCCCATCTATACAAATAATTCTATTTCATTTGAGAAGCGATACTGCAAATTTCCATAATAACATTTATTTATTTCATCCACAAGCGAAGAAAAATTATTTCTGTTCTGAAATCTTCTAACAGCCATGAATGTGTGAAAAAAATGGAAGGGAGCTTCACAAATATTCAGCATGAAGTCAACAAAACCTTTATTACATCTCTTATCACCAATGACCAATGCCTTACGGCGCTACACACTGTCTAAACGGACAATGTAACAAATACTTTAAAACAACTTGAAGCACCCGATTCGTTCAATGTAAAGAAAATTTTCTGTCTGAATGTTTTATTTTCATTTTCTTCTTTTTTACCTTTTACCGGTTAAGCCAGATTTTCGATATCCCGGGTCGTCTCTGGTCTCAATTAATCCGACTTAACAAGATTTTACTGCAAAACCATAGAGATAGTAGACTTTAAAGGGGCATCACATAATTGAAGATATAATTAGTTAGCTAATCGTAATGGATCAGCAGTAAATATCATTACATTAGGGGATGAGGATTTTCGGGCTCTTTTCTGAGCCTGTAACTGCTAAGTTTTTTTTAAAAACTGTTCAAACAAAGTTTTATCAATTGATTCATAACCAACGATGCTATCCTCGTAGAGAATTTTATTTACGTCGCAGTGCAACCATATGAGTTTTATTGGCGATGGTCCAGGGTCAATATCCTGTTTTCT